GCACGGGAGCGCGTGGCACGCAAGAAGGTCGCGTTCGCGTACTGCAGGGCGGAGGACATGAAAGGCGGACATCATGATCAAGGCGCTGGCACCGGGCAAGTTCAAGAAGTGCAAGAGCGAGATAGGAATCGCATAGTCATTAGTATTTGGGAGATTAATGACATACGGGCATTTACTGACCGAATCTCTGAATGATTCTGGGTTTTAGGATCACGACGTCGACGGTAATTCGACGGTAACTTGTAGTTACGGTTACACGGTTAAATGCGCGCGGGTTACAGTGTTACACCCGGATGACTTCGCGATAACCGTCGGCATTGTCTAGGTTCGATAATAGCCGTCGAAGTACGATATAGAGTGAAACTTTCGGACTTACTAGGTGACGGTCCACTGAGCCTACTAGGCTAGAGTGTAGATCTAGAGATAGGCCGTGACTCGGAACACTCCATATACATCGGGTGAACTTGATTGATTGAGTGTCACTTCGGAAAGCGTTGTGTTTCGACGGATTATGCCGAAGCTTTTTGGCGCATGAGCAGGGGTTTGTGGAGTCGCCCAAGGAAAAGGGCGATGGTGGGTCGGACTCCGCAGTGGCCTATGTGGCCGGGCGGAAAGGGAAGGAGAAACTTTACGGCAAGTATGAGAGCCGGGGCAAAGGGCCCAAATGCTATGATTGCGGGGATTTCGGTTCCATTGCCCGGAAGTGCAGCAAGCCGAACAAGCGGGAGCACAAGCGGGAGAAAAAGAAGGGGGATAAACCTTTAAAAGGTGTGGCCTTTGGCGTTATTGAGGTGTGTCTCCCGACGAGTGGCTCGTCGATTCGGGTACCTATTAACACTTAACTGGGGACAAGAGCTATTTGAGAACCTCGAAATGTTCCGAGGGAGTGGCCGAGAATTCACGTTCGGGGACAAAGGAACCCTATAGGCAAAGGGGAGCGGCTTGGTAGGCCTGCGGTGTGCGACACCGACTGGAGAAAGTCTGGTCACTCTGCAGAACGTGATGTATGTTCCGTGGGTGACGGCGAATTTGATTTCGGTAAGCAAGGCCATTGTGGTTGCGTCAGTGCTACTCAAGAAGAACGGCAACTACGAACTTGAGGTTGACGGGGAGGTAGTCCTTGTCGCTCGGAGAGTGAAGGGGGTCTATGTGAGGAATCGGGCGGAGAGGGACACGTGCTTCCTTGTGAAAATGCCGGAAACAGCAGAATTGTGGCACCGACGTTGGAATACGCCCGGTACGACTTGGCGAAAATGGTCAGGGCGACCTCGTGAAAGGGGTCGGGGTGAAACCGAGTGCGTTTCGGGCGCTCGAAAGCTCGGTGTGTGAATCCTGCATAATGTGGACGCAAACCAGGCTCCCCTTCCCCGAATCGGTGAGCACGGAGTCTCTTGAGCTAGTAGTCCACATGGACGTCTGCGGGCAAAGCCAGCAGCCGCCTTAGGGGGAAGCCGGTACTTTGCCACATTCTTCGACGACTACAGCAAACTCTCGGTTGTAATCCCCATGAAGCAGAAGAGCGAGGTGGCCAAGGTCACTGAGCACGTGATCAACCGCTTGGAGTTGCAATTGGGGACTTTGCTCAAGTTGGTGCGGACGGACCGGGGGCAAGGAGTACCTCAACAATGCCCTTGAAGACATTTACGGGGGTAAGGGGACGGTACACGAGAAAACCGCCCCCTACAGTGCCGAGCACAATGGGTCGGCGGAACGGATCAACCGGGATTAGGAGGAGAAGACCCAAGCAATGCTTGAGGACTCGGGGTTGGCCAAAGAGTTGTGGGCGGAAGCCGTAGTGACGGCCAACTACCCCGGAACCTGACGCCTGTGAGCGCCTTTCAAGTCAAGCACAAGTACTAGGAATGAGTGACGTACATAAGTCAATGGTCCAAGTAATGAATTCGTGGCTAGGTCTATTTGGTCGAGTCCAACTCTAGCTTTATGTGAGTTAGCTCAAATATCAACGGCCTAGGGGGTAAATACCACTACTAGAGGTAACTGCCAGTGAAGTAGGTGCCAATGGGGTAATTACCAGTGGGGTAAATGCGAGTGGGTAATTACCACTCTATCAAACTCAATGAAACGGTAACGAAATCATCTAGGATCTTAGGGCGTACTCACACAATAGTGGTACTACCTAAATCCAACAACAACAACATCAAACCAATTCTGTATGCATTTTACCTCGGGTTGGGTCGCCGTAATTGGCTCGATAGCCGGTTTTCGAAAATGACCATTATATTTTCTAATGAAACGAGGTAAATGCAATAGCAGCTTTTGTATTCGGCCCCAAATCTGTGAGATTCATAGTACGCATGACGAAGCTCTGGCAGCTCTCCTCAATTTCGAAACTGATAAAAGCTCCCGGCCTCGATAAAATTCTCATACGAGACACCGAAGAAAGGTGGTCAACTGATATTTTCTTTAGCCTAAGTCTTATCGAATCTTATCCTACACTTGCATGTAGGCTCGCCAGTCTAGCAACAAACTATGATTCTTCCAATCTTTGACGAAGGTGGGCTTGAGCCTCTCAAGGCTTAGCTCATTTAGGCTAAAACATCACTAACATTTTGCGCCGTCTAAATTATGTGACAAAGTTTTGCTGCATCGCATGGAGATTTGGAACGTTCTACAAAAGGAGCAGGCCGGCTTCCGAAAAAAAAATGTTGTACACTTCAGCAAGCCTTTATATTACTTCGGGAGAGATCCTTTGTTAAAATCCTAACAGAAGAACGATCAGATGCTGTACGCCCTTATATATATGCCTCATCGTCCGCAGGTGTGATTCGTAGGTGTGATGCATAATATTGACCGTAAGATTGTGGATCTACTCGGTAGTATATCAAATGTAAGATCGTGGAGTTGCTACATTTGATTGGCCGTACGACACGGTATTTTTTCAACTGTAGGATCGCAAGGTCATGCATGAGATCAGCCGTACGATCTTAAACTTGCATATTACTATTCCCACTGCAGGGAGTAAACTGTACGATCGTAACTTGAGTAGTACCAGTGGTAATACACTTTCGTGTAGCCGTCATGCATGCCTTGCAACAATTTTCTATGATGGTCTTCTTTAGTACACCGTAGTCAATGCGGCCATAGGCTTCTCATGGCATACAAGTTTGTGTTTTTGAGCGATTGAGTGGATTTAAGGCACAGACGAGTTACATCGAGATTTGCATGCGTGCATCCCCTCAGGTGTGACTTGTGCTGGATATTCCCAAACAAAGTCGCGCAAATGAAGTATTCCTTGAACAACACACCAGGTGGCAAAGAAATATTATTGGTTTGGAGAAAAGTCACATCGTCGAATGTTCATGTAGCGCTCAAGTTCATTCATGGTTCAAGGTATGCACAAATACCGCAATTCGTGCTGGTCTTTAGGGATTTTACGGATTCACATAATTATTGCTCATGATAGCTCATGAAGGGTGTTGTTACCCTTAGCTCGTGCGTGTGACAACTTGGAAAAATGTCGTGACCTACTTTCGAATCATCAAAGACGAAGCTCGATGAACGAGACTTAGTAGTAATTCTGTTGAAACTCATGGAGAGGGACTCGTAGTGTAAAAAAGTTCTTCGTCATCGGGTCTTCTCGTCTTGGCCGGCACCCATTGCCATCATTCATTGATGACAGTCATGCATCCTAAAAGGAACACACGAAGCGCATCACAAGCGGCTTCCTTTCCCTACATTCTCTTAGAATGATGTATCACATCAATATAATTTCTCTCCGCTATTGTATCATGGGTGTCCCAAGTTGCACTAGGCTCACTAGCCTCCTAGGCTTACTAGCCTAAATCGAATACTACTAGGCTTACTAGCCTAGCTCACAATCACACTCAATCTAATCATCTACGGCTTACACTGACGGTCGCTCTCAACGCCTAACCTCCGAATCGCCTAGCGCTCTAACCGCCTAACGGCCGTGCAAGCACGCCGGCGCTCATCAGTTCAAATCCTAACTTGAGTCGAACCCTAAGCACTTAGTAATTTGGCTGACCATGATCACCTAATTCAAACACTCCCATTCAGACGAATCACTTTAAGCCTCTAATCCGTCATGCTTTTCTTGCGGTCTGTCTTCTTCGCCTTTGGTATCACCCACACGCCTCCACGATGGCCACCACCGCTCTCCTGGTGCCGCACTGCGTCGCTTTTCCCTGACGACGTCTTCTCCACCCCGTGCCCCAGCTCTTCGGCTCCCACGGCTTCCGTTGCTGCGCTAACGTTCGCTTGATACCACTATTGTAAGTACGGACCGTGATGACGTCACGAGTCCCGTACTTAAATCAAGCGCGCTACCAACTAGACTATCCTCGCCTTTTTGCGCAGCCAGTCGCAAAACTTTTCGTTCTCGCTGGGAATCGAACCCAGTCCGGTCGCCGCATCTTTGTTAAAAGTATTAACGCGCTGCCACCGGCGCCAGTGTAGCCCGAGTGGCAGTGCGCAAATAGTTTCTAACAACCACTCGGCCGGCTCCTGTCGCACTTTCGCCAGATATCTTCCCAACTCATGGGACTCCACTACAGGCTTCTTCGTTGCCTGTTCCACATTGGCGGGCTTGCTTTCTACTGCCGTTGCCGTGCGTTATGTGGCTATTGCCGGTCCTCATCGGGTCCAGCGGAACGCAATGAACTCTGAGTCCGGAGAGGCGAGTCATGTCGCACTCCGGCGTTCCCTCTGGTACTATCTCTCCGCATCTAGCCATGCAAAAATATTTTGGCGTAAAACGGCTAGGACCCGCGATTACGCTCTCACTTAAATGCCACGTAATGGCGCAACAGTATGGTGCTTGCTCAATGGATAGTCATGGATAGATAAAACATAATAGCACGTGCATTCCACACCATGCTATGACTTCTCACACATTGCTCCGGCCCCAATGACTCGCATGCCAAGAAGACACCCATGCCAAGCCCGTCATACTCACATCCCCGGTTGCTGAATGCTCACGTCCTTCTCACATTCTCGGGCCATTGTCCTTACAAGGAAGCTCGAGGAGAACTTGCAACTTGGGAAGTGGGTCACACCAATCTTGAAGCAAGTAGATATACTACTACTACCACCTAGCCGGAGGTTCAATCACTCGGCTACAGATTTACTCGACTGGAGGTCTGGCTACTGGCCGAAGGTCAACTACTATCAACCCTTGCATGAGGTCTCCTGTTGGATCATCTGACCTCGGTATAGCTTAGCCTAGGATGGCGGCATGATACATGGTTCGCTCCATGTTCGCATTCTCTTGATTTCGCATTCGCATCAAGAAAGAGAATTTTATCATAGACATTACATGCACATTTCATTCGCTATTGGGATATGTGAAGATCGTTTGTTCAAATGAATATGCAGCAATCACAATGGGATGGGCATTCGCCATCACCCTCGGGATGATGCAAAGCACGTTCACA